TTTAGGGTTTAGGGTTTAGGGTTTAAAAAGCTGTCGGAAGAGCCTTCGGAACAGCGAGGTTCCGCATCCAGCTTATGGAACCGGGAGACATCAGGAAACGGGCGCATGGTGTCCGAGACCATGTGAGTTCCGAAGACCCCTCTCGGCACCCGGGCCATTTCTCACCACGTCGACACCCTTGCCTTCAGGACTCCCGAGGTTTTGGAGCCTTGAGGCTTCAGGGTTTTAACCCGCCTACAGGACGTTGAGGCCAGTGAGCGTGATTTTCAATTTCAGCACGTGGAGACGGGCAGGGGATCGATGATGCATTTACAGCATTCCTTGAAGGCTCAACTTGATCCGCACTGGATTCAGAAGGAATGCCGTTGAACAGCCGATTCGAAGTATGCACTTCACCGCCTCTCAATCGCACTGCATGTGCCTTGATAGCCGTCTCTCTCTCTGTCTCCCTCTCTCTCCCGGCCTCGCTAATCTCTCGGGCTTTCAGCGCCCCCGAATTACCCCACCGGGTGGCTCGAGCCCAAATTCGACGTGGCACGGAGGGTTCAGAAGCTCATCACTGAAGCCCCTGACATGCAGCCTGAAAGCCCAAACTCTTGGACCCTGAGCCTCATTCAAAACAGCTGGCACCATGGCATGCGACACAGACTGTAAGCCCGGACTGCAATTCTCTAGAGCCCCTGAAGACGGAGCGCGCCGAGCTTCAAAATAGTGCATATGCGTCCGCGCATTTTCGCTCTCAGCTCACAAGTTCTGGCAGTGGCGCCATCAGCGAGACAGGGATTCGGGGGCTTCGAGGATTCAAACTTATCTCAACGAAAGGCTCGGAGGGCTCGGAAGCGAGGGCTCGGGAGCGGGAGCGAAGGCTCAAGGATTCGGGCACGCGCTGCTTGTGGAACAAGCCCAAAGGATGCAAGGCGAGGGCGAAGTGCGCCTGGGCGGAGGCTTCATTGAAGGAAACTACAGGTGCGGAGTTTAGTATGTATAGGGCTTCTACATAAGGCTTCTATAAGGGCAGTTGTCTAAATTAGGGTCCCCTTTAGGGTCCCTTTTATAAGGGTGCCGTACTATAGTGGGTACCTAAAAAGGAAGCCTAATTTTAGAGAACTACCCATAAGGTACATAGACCTTCAAAAAGGCCCCAAAATGTCGGCTTCAGGCTCCACTTAGAGGTTCATGGGTAGTTATAAGTGGGGTTCTAAGTCCCCTAATCTGGGTTATACATATAGTTACCCTACTTATAACCCCACTTTTTACCCACCCATGAACCTCCAAGTATGACCCCTTATAGACCCCTTATAAGTATAGTTACCCTACTTATAACCCCACTTTTTACCACCCATGAAACTCCAAGTAAGGCTCCAAAATGTCGACTTCAGGCTCCCCTAAACCCTAAGCCCTAAACCCTAAACCCTAAACCCTAAACCCTAAACCCTAAACCCTAAACCCTAAACCCTGAACCCTAAACCGAGTTCCTTTTTGGGGGACCGGGCCCCTGCTTTTTGGGGGCTCTCTCGGGCTCAAAGGACGGGACTTTGAAGACTTCGGCTACTGTAGGGGGGGCCTTAGTAGTTAGAGGGTTTAGGGTTTAGGGTTTAGGGTTTAGGGTTTAGGGTTTAGGGTTTAGGGTTTAGGGTTTAGGGTTTAGGGTTTAAGGCTTGGGGCCCATGATACTATACTTATCATAAAAGGAACCCCCAAAATCGATATAGGTAAAGTATGCTGTACTTATCATAGGGAGGCCCCGAAATGAATATAGGTAAACTATACTATACCTATCATAAAAGGAAAGGTAATTATTGAGGCCGCTGTTCTTGTGCGGCTATGGCACTGGGACTGAAGCCTTTCACGGAAACCTTCACACACCGATCTTCCAATCCAAGACTCCGTCTTGGTCCCTTGTACTACGGTTGATGATATAAATCCTGCATTACCTTAAGGGCCCTAAACAATGGGAATTATGGTATATTCCTTCTGCTTCTTATGGGTAATGCAGGATTTATATTAACCGTCGGAAGAATCCTTGCGCTTTGATTCTGAGATATCCCAAGGTTGCGGCGGTCCTTGTGTACAAGTCTGTGCCAGTGAAGCGATGGAGTTACGTAATCTAGAAGCAGAAAAAGTTACCAATAGTGCTCATTACTTCTCCTTGCGATTATATATATATATATACATACATACATATATATATATATATATATGTATATATTATAGCGTAATCTACTCCAAAACCTATTAAGATTCGCAAGTCCCCTGTAGCAAAGTAGTCTCTCTCGATGCCTCCTTCCTCTTGACGGCCCAAAAACCTCAAGGCCCATGACCCGACAGGAGCTGCTCCCTACTTGGCGGTTTTTCTTTGGGTATGTATAAGGCTCTTTTAAAGGGATCTATAAGGAGGTCTGTTGATCTGTTGGAAGGTCATCTCGATTTGGGTTGTCTTGTTGCCCAGACTGAGCCATGTTAATCTTCTCTGTATCGTTCCAGCTAGCAAGCCAGCAAAGAAGAAACCATGCGCAGCAGGACTA